CAAATAGCCTCAGTACCCAGAGCTGGAGCAGGTTGAAGCCAGGAGCCTCACTCAACCCAGGCCTCCCATGTGTGTGGCCGGGGCCGGGGGACTTGAGCCGTGCTCTGCCTGCCGTCTGCCAGGTGTGCGTTAGCAGGAAGCTGGCATCGGAAGGAGAGCTGGGACTTGAACCCACGCCCTGTGATAGGAAGCTTCCTCGGGCAGGATTGGTTCATGGACAGCAGGCCGGCCTGGCCGTCAGGCAGTCACAGTCCTCATTTTGTGCATTCACAGCCCTGGCTGGGACACGGGGAATCTCCTGGGGGAGACAGTGAGGGGGTACAGTGCTGGCGTGCAGATGGCAGGGTGTAAGTGGGTGCAGATGGCTGGAGACCTGCCAGGGTCTGTCTCCCTGAGGGAGAAGCCCTTCAAAGTTGCCTTTGGCAAAGTGAGTGGGGCTGGAACTTCGCACACGCCCCCTTGCACACAGCCTGCTTATCTCTGACGGGTTTTTTAAAATATTTGTTTTTGAAATGCAGTGCAGCACAGAGATCCATCTGTTATTCCTGGAACGTTTGCATCAGCCAGGGCTGGGTCACACTGAAATCAGAGCCTGGCGCTCCATCCTGGTCCCCCCCATGGCTGACAGGGGCCCAAGTACAAGAGCCCATCTTCTGCTGCTTTTCCAGGACCATTCGCAGGAAGCCAGATCAGAAGCAGAGTAGCTTAGACCAGAATCAGCAATCCAGTATGGGATGTCCATGTTGTAGATGGTGGCTTAACCCACTGTGCCCCTGCAGCAGCCCCTTCTGGAGACTTCTGTCTCATTCACAAATCACTCCAAAATGTGGCCGTTGGGACAACAGGAAGCTCCTGCCTCACAGTTTCCAGGCTTCAGGAATCTAAGAACAGCTCATCTGGATAGTTCTGACCCAGGTTGTCTCCCTGGGGGTGTGGTCAGGCTGCTAGCTGGGGCTGCAGGTGCCTGGGGCTGGGCTAGCTCAGCTCCTCTCCATGGCGCTGCTCCAGGGCCCTTACACATAGCTGTTGCTTTGGCCCAATGCTAAAGAGCAAGCACCCAGGGCAGATGCCTGAACCTCAGTGTGACGGGCCAACACCAACCCGCTCCGGTTACTCAGGAACCTTGCTGTGGGACTCATGCCACACCGATTCCCATCGTCTGAGTCTCCATGTCCTCTCAGAAGGAAGGACTCCATACTTGATCTGGCCCCTAGGACTCGGTGACAGGGAGGGGTGTGTCCTGGCCTGCCACACCCCATGCGCCACCCGCTGATCCATGGATTCTTTCTCAGTGGGAACCCCAAGCTCTGGGGAGATTAGGACACGCATCCACGGGCAGGTCCAGCTCCTGCCTTCCTCTGGGAGAGCTCGTGGAGCCATCCTCCAGTGCCTGTTCCCTGTGGATGCACACCCTGCCCAGGGTCACAGCCTCCACATGCCTGGAGAAGGCTGGCTTCCCAGCTCAGCTGGGGGAACTGTCACAGAAGGTAGGCGGCGCCAGGCTCCGATGAGCTCTGTAAGTACAGATGAGCCACTTTCTGCGCTAACTGGGGTGAGCGTCTCAGAGAGGATTGGGAGCTCCTGAGGGCGCTCAGAGAGCAGCACCCTCCTGTAATTAGGCTCTCTCCTCCTTGCACGTTGAGAATAAAAATATCAAGGGGACAAAACAGAGGTGGCTCAGGACGCGTCCCCTTTGACGGGGCCACTTTCCGGAATGCTCCTGTTTGCCACGACACAGCGTCCCGGTGTGCTGCTGCACGGCCTTATACCAATGCTCAATGCAAGCTAAATGGGAAAAGGAAAGTGGCCAGGGCTGGGAGCAGGTGGGCAGCCAGGGGAGCTGGGCGTGTCCAGAGAGTCAGCTGGATCCTGTGACCCCGCCTCCAGGGCTCCTGGGATGGAGCCAGCGGTCAGGGCATAGGTCAGTCTGCAGAAGTTAACACAAGAGCCTTGGGGATGGTTTAGTTCTCTGTTTACTGATTTTTCAGAAGGTAAAATTCACCATGGAAACACTGAGTTGGTGGCCCCAGTCTCCCCTGGCTTCAGGGAGGACTTGAGGTATGAGCTCTCAGCAAGGAATCAGGAGGCTGAGTTCCGCCTTGGACCTCCCAGGATCGCTCCTGTGCCCCCCCCACCATGTTCTAGAGAGGCCAGGGCCTGGCACACCCCCCTGTCCCCCACTGGAGCCCCGAGCCAGGTCTTTGCTCTTCCATTGCTAAGTGGGACCTGTCTTTGAGCTTGGTTTTGACTCAAGAAGTGGTGAGGGAGACCAGGGGGCGTCTCCAGGCTGGGGACCATGGCAGGCCCTGGCTGGTGAGGAAGAAGGCCCCCATGGTGGGGGAAGGGGAGCACCTATAAGGTCAGGGGAACCAGCAGCACCTTGGTCAGGGGTTGCTAAGGATACCAGTCCTCCGTGCCCAGGGCTGGCTGGCTGACTCCTAACTTCTCCAGCTTATCCAAAGTGTGTGTGGATTTCCCATGAGAACCCCTCCCCCACCTCCGTCCCCCTGCCCACAGGGGTCAGGGACGGCCTGTTGGCTGAGTCTGGCCTGCAGCACCATCAGACGCCGGGCTCCCTGGAGACCACACGCGGTAGTAGAGCACCCCCTTCCACCCCTCCCAGGTCAGGCTCCGCCTCCCCAGAGATTACTCCAGGTGTATGGAGCTCTGGCCTGTGCCCCTTACTTGATGGAGCCTGCACGCATGCATGGTTCCGAGCACCTGTCCACTCATATGTGACATCTAAGGATGCCTAGGTGGCCCTTCCACCCCCCTTAGGTCCCTCTTCCTAGGGGTGCTTTGGGCACTGGGACCTTTGTCCAGGCTGCTGGATGCTGGACAAGCACAGCCCACCCTTGAGGACAGGGGAAGCGCCTGACCAGGACTGCGGCCTTGGCCCTCTCCTGTGCTGCAGCGGCCTCCTGAGGTGCCTGCCTTGGGCCCCACCCGCAGCATTAGGGCCACGGAGGAGTGATCAAGTCACTCCCCTACCCTGGGGACACGCCTTCCTCCTCTGCAGCCAAGGTTTCAGACTTAGGCGCCGAAGTACTTCCTCAGGCATGCATGGGCCTTTCAGGACTCAAAGGACACGGGTTCGGTGCCGGCCCCCATAGACCCTGAGTGCTGACAGTGCAGGCGAGGGGCCGGGCGGTGCGTGGGTCTGCAGAGAGCGCGTGCGGGGCAGGAGCACGGGTTCCTCCAGGGAGAACATGGCCCAGCCCCTCTCACCCCCCACCCACCGCCAGCAGGGAGAGCTGCAGGAAACAGGAGTCCCCATTCCAGCGGGGAGACCCGCGTGGTCACTGCGGGTCTCTAAGCGCACGCACAGCTCGCTGTCATCCGCGGGCCTGACCGGCGGGCGGAGCGGCCAGATCCTGGGTTTAAAGCCCCAGCTGGGCGAGGAAGGGCCGGATCGGGGCTCCGGGGCTTGGGGACCTGCCCGGCCCTGCAGACGATGGACGCTCGCTCGCGGGGCCGGCCACCTTGGAGGAACCGGCCGCGCCCCGGCCTCGGGCGAGCGCCGCGGGGGTCGGGGAGGATGTGCAGCGTCTCCAGGGCGCGCCGCGCCTGCGAGCGCTCGGCCGCTTCGCCTGGCTGCGCCTGTGAGAATTTGCCGACGGTGCCCGCGCGCGGCTGGCCCCGGCCTGTCCGCGCCGCCCGGCGTCCCCGGCCCCGCCCCGGCCGCGCCCCTGCGCCGATGCCCCGGTGTCCGGCACCCTCGGGCCCGAGCCGGCGCCCTCGGGTCACTCCGGGATCCGCGCGCCGCGTCCCCTGGGCAACCGTCTCCAGGGAGACCGGGCCCCGCCCCCGGCACCGGCACTCGGTACGAAGTCCACCTGTGCGGGCCGCCCGCCCCGCCCCCGCGCCGGGCTTTGTCCACCGGGGCGGGACGCGCAGGGGTCGGCCGAGGCGGTGGCGGGTGCAGGGCGGTGGGGCTGGGGGCGGCGGGGGCGCCGGGGATCCCTGGGGGCTGGCCGTGCCACGCCGCTCCCTCTCCCCATCAGTGCATCCTTTTGTGCCCGCGACGGCGATGGGGAACCCACCGGTGGTCGGAGCTGCCCCCGGCCCTCCGCGAGCTCCGGAGCAGCTGTTTCCCCCGGGGTCCCGGCCGAGCGTCCCCGTGCATCCCCCGCAGCCGCCCAGCGTCGCCCTTGAACCCGGGCGCGCTCCCTGTGGAGCTCTGTCTGGGCTCCGCACATCCTGACCCGGATTCCAGAGGACGCGCTCACCACCCGCCTCCCGGCGCTGTCACGCCTTTCGCTTTGTCTGCCCTGTTTGGAAAGCGCGTTCGCTGGAGTCCGGTCTCCCAGGGGCTGCTAGGGACTTCGTGGGGCTGCAGCTGGAGTTGGGGCATCGTTATCCCTGGGTGCTGGGCCCCTCGGGCAGCCCGGGAAGTCACCCCCTCCTTCCTGGGTTGGGGTGGGCCAGGTGGGCGCCGGCTGGGGCCTTGAACGTTGTGTTCCTGGAGCGCGCACCTCCTCCAGTGCCTCCCGGGGCTGCTGCCCTTTCTCTCCCAGGGAAGCCCTTCCCAGCCCAGCTAGTGGGTTCCAGATGAGGCCCCTCTCCAAGGTCGAGGTGGCTGTGCCCAGCACCTAGGGAAGGGAGAAGAGCAGGTCTGCCCCCCTCGTGCACTCTGCTGGGATCAATTCCTGGGGCTGCGGCGGAGAGGTGGCGGCCGTCCCTCCCTTCCACTAGTCACGGCCCGACTTGAGGCCTTGCTGTTTGTTTAGTCAGTTTGGGACAAACAAGCTCTCAAGTTTATGAACTGCTTTTGCTGCCACGAAAAGGAGCTGGAACCCAAACCAGGCTCAGCACAATTGGTGTGCTTTCTAGTCACCTGTGTGTGCCGCGCCACTGCAGGTGCTGCTGGGATGGGTTCCAGGCCGGGAAGGAAGAGGCAGGCGGCATCGTGACCCATGGTAGGAGGGCCTATGGGCAGCACGGAGGCCTTTAGAGGGTCACTCGTTGTAAAACATTTTCTCCTTTTCGTTTTTTTCCAGATGGATAAGGAGCTCAGAGGCAGGTGAGGGCGGGGCTGCCACCAGCCCTGAACCCTCCTCCCCGGCCAGGCAGAGGGCCTTTCCCAGGGGTCTTGCACCATCCCTGAGAGGTAGGTGGAGGGAAGGGGAAGAAGGAGGTGGTTTGTGGGTGGTCTGAGTTCCCCCCCTCAGACCCACCGTTGGTCTGCAGCCTGGGTAGGTCTTTCTGAAGAAGGAACCTGACCCAAATCAGGATGGGAGGGTGTGGAACATGACCCTGACCCTGACCCAGGCCGCAGCTTCCTGGGGTGGGGGGAGCCTGCAGTCCTGAACCCCTTTTCCAGCACTTGGCACCTGCCATGCTGTGGGCCGGGGCTGGCCCGTCTTCTCCAGGAGAGCTGTGTGACTTGGTGCTGCCTCCCGTGAGGTCCTGAGGTTGGAAGGAAGCAGTCCCTGTACCTGAGCCAGGATGCTCTGACCAGCTCACAGGACATCAGCCTGGGAGCTGTCTGCTTCTGTCACTCTGTGGATGGGCAGGCTGGTGTCCTAGCCGAGCACCCCCGTGCAGGCACTCAGAGGTCCTGGGGCAGCCGGCTGTGGCTGTCTTGTGTGTCCCCTTGCGAACGCTGCAGGCACTCAGCGTGTTCTCTGTACACTCAGAACCCTGTGTGTGAGCAGCTGCCGGCACTGCTATGGGGACAGGGGCTGGGTGAGGGCAAGGGGCCATCCTATGAGGCTGAGCTCCATCAGAACCTTCCAGACATCTTTGTTGCTTGTGAATCTCTTTAAATAAATAGACTAGCCTGAATCTGGACCTAGCCAGCAGGTACCGGCAGAGGCACTGGTGGCCCTGACTAGCCTAGAATTCCCGTTCAGTGCTGCTGCTGGCTGGGGAAGCCCAGGCCCCTGATGGGGAGCAGGCAGGACCATGCTGGGAAAGCAGAGCAACTTCCCAATGTCTGCTTGAGCAGTTTCCATCAGCAGGCCAAAGCCTCAGACATAAAAGAAACATTTTTCCGTTGATTTTTTTTTTAAAGCAGAGAGATACAGAGACAAATTTCTCCCCAAATGCCTGCAATAGCTGGGACTGGCACAGACTGGAGCCAGGAACCTGGAGCTCCATCGGGTCACCTGGGTGGGTGGCAGGGACCCAACGGCTCAAATCATGAAAAGCCACCTCTCATGGTGTGCAGAGTCGGAAGGGAACTGGCTTGGACAGAGCATCCGAATGTGGCATGCGGATGTCCCGAGTGGTGGCTTCGCTGATGCCCCAGCACCTTCCACAGACGCATGTTTGTGATCCCAGCGTGATGGCTCAGTGGCTAAATTCTCACCTGGCAAGTGCCAGGAAGCCAGATGGGCACCAGTTTGTATCCCGCCTGTTCCACTTCCCATCCAGCTCCCTGCCTGTGACCTGGGAAAGCAGTTGAGGACGGCCCAAAGCCTTGGGACCCTGCACCCACGTGGAAGACCCGGAAGAAGCTCTTGGCTCCTGGCTTCAGATCAGCTCAGTTCCGGCCATTGCAGCCATTTGGGGAGTGAACCAGTGACTGGAATATCATTTTTTTTTCTTTCTCTTCTTTTCTCCATAAATCTGATCTGCCTTTCCAGTAAAAACAAATCAATCTTTTTTTTAGGTAGAGAGAGCTATGCATTGCTGGTTCACTACTCAAATGACCCAAGAGCTGTGGCTGGGCTAGGCTGCGTCTGGAAGCCAGAAACACGAGTGGGAGGGAGCCAAGCTCGTGAGCAGCGCCACGCTGCCTCTAGGGCTGCATTAAAAGGACGCTGAATTGGGAGTAGAGCTGCATCCCGTATGGACACCAGTTTGTGTCCTGGCTGCTCCGCTTCCAGTCCAGCTGATGCACCTGGAAAGGCAGCAGAGGATGGCCCAAGTGCTTGACCCACTATCACCCACCTGGAGACCCAGATGGAGCTCCTGGCCCCTGGCTTCACACGCGCCCAGCCCCTTATGTTGCAGTTATTTGCAAAGTGAACCAGAAGATGCAAAATTTCAATAGCTGCCTTTCAAATGAAATGAATAATTTTTAAAGTGTCCTTAGTATAAACTTTAAAATGAATCCTCCAGCTCACATGACGCTTAGCCACTACGCAGCTCTTCAGTGTGTGTGTGCAGGCTGGAAGGCAAGAGACGGAGATGCCAGCAAAGCACCAACTGTGCGCCCACGGGGGCCAAGGAGCAGGGAAGATTGCTAAATAGAGCTTTTAAAATGTTTGCAATTCACTACTTTATTTGAAAGCCAGAAAGAGAGTTCCCAACTGCTGGTATAGTCCCCAAATGCCCACCATAGCCAGGGCTGGACCAAGCCAAAAGCAGGGTCCACAACTCCATGTGGCTCTCCCATGAACTGGATCAACTCCACAGTGTTTGTTCCTAAAAGCTGGGGTCATGGTGGAGCGAAGACCCAGGCACTCCAAAGTGGGATATGACTATCCTGCATGGCATGTTTAACTGCTGCCCTGGGTCCCCACCCCATGCCACCCCATCTTGGGAACCCAGTGACCCTCAGTGCCAACCTTGCCTCCACTGGTCCTGACTCGTACACCTGCTTCTCCACAGCCGCTTAGTTCCCTTACTTCCACGTCTACTCTCTCCCTTCCCTCAGTCCTCCAGCCTTCCCAACTTAGATGAAACCCAATGCCCACCCCCTTCTGAGGGTCCAGGGGGGCTGGCATTGTGGCTCAGCAGTGGGGTGATCTGCAACCTGTGCCACCAGCATTGCTTAGGTGTGCCCTCTTGAGTCCTGAGTCCCGGCTGCTCCACTTCCAATCCAGCTCACTATTTATGTTCTTGGGAAGGCAGCGGAAGAACGCCCAAGTGTGTGGGCCCCTGTCATCCGGGGGAGAGAACTCAGGATTCCAGGCTGCTGGCTTCAGCCCAGCCCAGCCCCAGCCCAGCCCAGCCCAGCCCAGCCCAGCCCAGTCCAGTCCAGCCCCAGCCCCAGCCCCAGCCCAGTCCAGCCCCAGCCTCAGCCCAGCCCCAGCCCAGCCCAGCCTCAGCCCAGCCCAGCCCAGCCCAGCCCAGCCCCAGTCCAGCCCCAGCCCCAGCCCCAGCCTCAGCCCAGCCCCAGCCTAGCTCCAGCCCCAGCCCAGTCCAGCCCAGTCCCAGCCCAGCCCAGCCCAGCCCCAGCCCAGCCCCAGCCCAGCCCAGCCCCGGCCCAGCCCTGGCCCAGCCCAGCCCAGCCCAGCCCCAGCCCCCGCCACTGCAGCCATTTGGGGAGTGAAGCAACAGGACGAACTCTCTCTTCCCCTGAAGGTCTGTCTTTCCAATTAATGAGTTAAAAAGGCTTTGAGATCTTCAGCTTTCTCAGTATGCTCACTCCATTTTATGGATTGGAATGTTCTAGGATGGAACATGTTCTAGAATCCAGTTCTAGAAGGGAAAAGGAAGCCAGGCAGGATCTTTGTTGAAAAGAGTGTGTGGTAAAAGGCGGAAGATTTATAGGATCTGAAGAGATGCAAGTGTAGCGGAGATTGATATGTTCATAGATGGAAACAGAAATACGTCCCCATGGGTAAGGATGGACTCACAGAGAAATGGCTGATAATCTACGCTGTTGGGAGACACCTCAGTGGCAACATGGTAGACTTGAGAAATTCACGAAAGACAACTATTGTAAGCCTGGAGGAGAGAAGAAAGGGGAATGGAGAGAACTTGGGAAGGGAGAAGGAAGACCCCAGTGCCTATTAAACCGTGTCATAAAACGATAATAATAATGGAAAGAGTGTGGGCAACAACACTGTGGTACAGTGAGTTAACACTGGCTTCCCGCATAGGTGTCAATTCAAATCCTCCCAGCTGCTCCACGTCCCACCCGGCTTTCTGCTAATGCGTGTGGGAAAGGAGTGGGAGTTGGGCCCACACACCCACGTGGGAGACCCTGGTAGAACTCCAGGCTCCTGCCCTCAGCCTGGCCCGGTCCCTCACTGCTGTGGCCATCTGGGGAGAGAACGGGTGGATGGAAGATCTGTTTGTCTTGCTGCCTCTCCCTCTTTAATCTGCCTTTCAAATAAAACAGATCTCAAAGACCAGGCCGTGTTTAGCGTCCCTGGAAGACCGCCTCGTGGGCTCGCCTTGGCCAGTCTGAGTCCATGGCCAGATGCCACCACCGGCTTCCTCATTTGGCCACAGCATGTCGAGCATTGTAAATGGACCCTCCAGGACTCTGGCTGTCCCCGAAGTTTCAAAGCAGAAGGAAAGCTGTTAGCAGCTTCCCTGCAGAGTCCTGGCTCTCTTCCCGTCCCCAGGGACCAACAGGTGACATGATCTGTGTCATTCTGCCTTCTCAAAAATAAACAAATCTTGAGAAAAACCCCGAGTGAGGAAGGCGCGGCCTGGCCCTTCTCGGGAAGAGGAACCTCAAGTGGATGTGGTTTTACCATCAGGAAGTGGACCCTGGTGGTGGCCTAACCCAAGTAGGGTGACTCCCAGCTCCCGCTGCAACTTCCGTGCCCAGCAAGGCTGAAGCCGGACTGGCACCAGATTTTCAAGGTTTACTTATTTATGTTAAACACGGAATGACAGAGGGCCCAGAGTCCGCAGCAGCTGGGGCTGGGCCAAGGCCAGGAGCTCCAAACTCCACCCGGGTTTCCCTCATGCGTGGCAGGGACCCAAGCACTTGGACGTTCACCTGCTACTTCCAACGCACATCAACAGTGAGCTGGATCAGAAGTGGAGCAGCTGGGACACGAACCAGGGCCCTCAAGGGATTCCAGCACTTGCAGGGGAAGGATTAACCAATTGAGCCACTGCACTGGGTCCTAAGAGTAAACGTTTCTAGCTTGTTTAATCAGCAAAACAATGGAATCGAGAACATACAAAGATATGCAACAAACCAGTAAAAATCCTCTAAACAGCTTTCCTGCCTCCAACCCCAGGGCAAACACACAAAGCCTACAAGCTGGCTCTTTACAGCAGGAAAATGCTTTGTGTAAAATCAGGAAACTGCACATGGGAACCACAGGGCATCTGTCCGCATCAGACTGGCCAGAGCGAGCAGAGCGGACAGCCCAGTGCTGGCCAGGGTGGTGCGACTGTTCATGGGCACCAGGCCCGCGGGGGGCACTCCGAATAGCCAGTCGAGTTCCTGGCGTGATTGTAGCTACCACACCTGTGACTGTTAGCACCTGTTGTGTACCTGGCATGATGAGACGTTTCAGGACATTCAGTGAGCCGTGATTCTTGCACCGGGGGAGTTTCTGGCGTGCTTGGTGGGGGCTGGGTCTGGGAACGCACCTTCTGCCTGTTTGTTGTATGCAGTCTACAGATCAAATATATTTGACAAATATCTCGAAATGATACTTGCAGTGCACCCCAAGTGTCAAATATACTCCCGACGCAAAGGCTCAGTGCCAAAAACGGAATGTAAACTATCTCATTAGGATGTTTGCCATATTGATTATATGTTGATACGACCATTTAAAGACATATTGGGTGAAATAAAATAGGAGACTCCGGGCCTGGCATGATAGCCTAGTGACTAAGTCCTTGCCTTGCATGCCCTGGGATCCCATCTGGGTGCTGGTTCTAGTCCTGGCTGCTCCACTTCCCATCCAGCTCCCTGCTTGTGGCCTGGAAAAGCAGTTGAGGACGGCCCAAAGCCTTGGGACCCTGCACCCACGTGGGAGACCAAGGAGAAGCTCCTGGCTTGGATAGGCTCAGCTCTGGCCATTGCAGCTACTTGGGGAAGAAACCAGTGGAAGATCTTTCTGTCTCTGTAAATTTGCCTTTCCATTAAAAATAAATAAATCTTAAATATAAGAGGGACTTCAAAAGGTTCCTGGACAGGGGAAGAAGTTTATCTTGGTGCAAACTGTATGCTGTTTTCTTCCTAAGTTATGTTTCCATGAACTTTTCAAAGTTTCCACACACCTTACAAAGCTTTATTTGAAACTGGATTTTCTCACCCTCTGGAATGGGTACAAGGCTCTTCCGCATTGTCATGTGGTCACAGTTTGTTTCTCTGGGCCAGCACGGAGGGAGCTGTGGGCCACGCGGTGTGAGACTGGAAAGCACTGAAGCCAGCCGAGAGTTTATCAGTAAAGGGCAGAGGCAAATGCGCTTGGCTTCTCACGGGAAATCACCACGCGGAATGACAATGGCCGAGCCACGTTCGCCAGGAGCCCCGAGCCAGGCGCTCCCCCCCGAGTCTCCCTCACGGTGCAGGGTCCCAAGGCTTTGGGCCATCCTTGACTGCTTTTCCAGATCACAAGCAGGGAGCTGGGTGGGAAGTGGAGTAACTGGAATATCAGCGCCCATATGAGATCCTGGTGCTTGCAAGGCAAGGACTTTAACCACTAGGCTACCATGCCAGGCCCAGGAGCAAAAATAGTAGCACGTGTTTGTGGACACAGCTGAGTAGAGTGAACGTGTAAAAATGTGCGTGGATGTTCTTGTTTCAATGATTTTTTCAAAGTCAGAGACAGAGAGAGAACTTTCATCTGCTGGTTCACTCCCCAATGGCCACACTAGCCGGAGCTAGTGGTCTGAAACCAGGAGCCAGAAGCTTCTCCCAGGTCCTCCATTCCGTGAGTAGGGGGAGCCCCAGGCACTTGGACCTTCTTCCACTCATTTTCCCAGGCCATTAATAGACAACTGGATAGGAAATGGAGCAACTGGGACTTGAACTACTGCCCATATGGGATGCCATCACTGCAGGCAGTGGCTTTACCCACGGTGCCACAGCCCTGCAGCTGCATGGGCATTGTAAACCACTGGATCCTCAGCCTGGACTGGGAGCAGGGGCAGATGTAGACATGAAGGCCCTTGGGTTTGTTATGTTGTGTTGCTCACCAGGGGTAGGCATGACAGAGAACTCTGTGCCACTGAGCTGTTTTAACATTATTGGATGCTAAAGCCATCGTTGAACCATTTGTTGCTCCACTCTTAATTCAGTTCGTGGCTAAGTCGCCAGGGGAGATAGCAGAAGATGACTCAAGTGCTGGAGCCCAGTCCCGGCTGTCGCAGTTATTTGGGGAGTGAACCAACAGATGAAAGATCCCTCTCTCTCATCCCGCCTTTCAAATAAATCATTTCATTGAAGATTATTTATTTTTATGTGTGACCTCCCTGGATCCCATGTGTCACTTCCCTGGGTCCCATGTCACCTCCGTGGGTCCCATGTCACCTCCCTGGGTCCCGTGTGTCACCTCCGTGGGTCCCATGTCACCTCCCTGGGTCCTATGTCACCTCCCTGGGTCCCTAAATGGCCATAGAAGCTGGAACTGAACTGGTCTGAAGTCAGGAGCCAGGAGCTTCTTCCAGAGTCCCAAGGATTGAGCCATCCTCTGCTGCTTTCCCAGACCACAGCAGGGATCTGGATGGGAAGTGGAGCAGCTGGGACATGAACCAGTGCGCATATAGGATGCCAGTGTTGCAGGCAGAAGATTAACATGATACCTCACCACACAGATGGCATTTTTTTAAATGAAAAAGTGTCAAAAAAAAAAATCTACAGCCTTGGTCTTTTTACAAGTGCCTGGTGGGTGACCAGAACTCCTACTAGCTGCTGGTGTGCCAGCCTGTGGCCATGGTGGGGTGGCCAGTGTGTCTGTCACATGGGGAAATGACATGGTATGGGCACTGCTGAGTCCCTACCTGCCTGTGACGACACAGCCCAGCCCAGACATCGGCCTGGGACGAGGGGCCACAGACCACCCTGGACAGGAGGAGGCCCTGAGGGAGGGCCAAGACCCTGCCCCCTGCACCTGCCTCCAGGTCCTAATCTGTGGGGACCCCCTAGATCTCCCTAGATCTCTGCCTGTTACCTGGTGGGTGTGACTCACAGCTTACCTGCCCTTGACCTGAGGCATGGCTCCAGCCACCTAGGATGAGGCATCCAAGTACAATGTCATTGTTGGATGAAGGGACTGCAACCTGTGTAAGTTTTTGCCCTCCATGGTTCTTGCAGCTGAAGAACCCTGCCAACTCATTCCTTGGTGGCCTCGGGGTCTAACCCATCTCCCTTTGTCTCTTTTGCAGAAAAGCTCGCATCCCAGAAGCAGCAGAGCAGGATGCCCCCCGGGGTTGACTGTCCCATGGAATTCTGGACCAAGGAGGAGAATCAGAACGTGGCAGTGGACTTCCTGCTGCCCACAGGCATCTACCTGAACTTCCCCGTGTCCCGCAATGCCAACCTCAGCACCATCAAGCAGGTACAGGCTTGAAAACAATGCTGTCCTCTCACCCGGGTGCCCAGAGGGGCAGCCAGCCTGGGGGACGCAGGCGCAGTTTCTTAAACTTGGTATTCTCAGACAGGAATTCTGAAAGATACACATTATGTCTGTGAATTGTTCAAAAACGTGTCATTTGGAAGTCACTTGTTATTCTGAAATCAGCTTCCACCCCAGCTCCCCCAAAATTTGATACTTGTTTGAAAAGTAGAGAGACACAGAGAAGGAGAGACCTTCCATCCACTGGTTAACTCCACAAACATGTGTAATGGCTGTCCTGGGTGGAACCAGATGGAGCTAGATGGAAGCCAGGCACCTAGGACTCCCTTTGGGTCTCCCATGTGGGTGTCAGGGACCCAAGCATGTGGGCCATCTTCTGGTGCTTTCCTAGGCACATTAGCAGGGAGCTGGGTGGGAAGTGGAGCAGCTGGAACTCAAACCAGTACTCACACGTCATAGGTGCAGCTTAACCCACTGCACCACAAGGCCAACCTGAGTCTCTTCTGCTTTAACACCTATCCTTGACTAGATTCCCAGATGATGATGCCCCCCATTTCTAGCCCATGAGACCCCTCCATGCTCCCATGTCACCTACCCTGGGTTCCATGCCACCTCCTTGAGTCCCATGTATCACTTCGCTGGGCCCCTTGTCACCTCCCTGGGTCCTGTGTGTCACTTCCCTGAGGCCCACATCACCTCCCCTAAGCTGTCCTGTCCACGATGAGGCCGGACGAGACGCCTCCTCCTTTCCCGGCCTCCACATGTCCACACCATGGACATCAGGCGCTGGAGCTCGGGCTGCCCTGTTCTTCGATGAGGGGCCCAGGATGCCTCAACATCTGGCCCCTCCATGAGTGACACACTTTTGAATCTGTCACCAGGGCTGAAAGATGAGAGTGGTGAGCCCCAGAAGTGAGTGGGGTGCCTGAAGTGGAAACTCACATGTCAGGTGGTGATCCCTGGGTTCCGAGGGACCGCCTGCCCAGCCCCAGGTCGCCAGGGACAGGGCACAGACCAGCACCACTCGTGGGGCGGGCCTTAGCTGTCCGGGAGGGTGGTGCCAGTCGGGGCCCTCGGCTGGGCTGACGGCCGGGTCCCTGTTCCCGCAGGTGCTGTGGCATCGCGCCCAGTATGAGCCGCTTTTCCACATGCTGAGCGACCCCGAGGCCTACGTGTTCACGTGCGTGAGCCAGACGGCCGAGCAGCAGGAGCTGGAGGACGAGCAGCGGCGGCTGTGTGACGTGCAGCCGTTCCTGCCCGTGCTGCGCCTCGTGGCCCGCGAAGGCGACCGCGTGAAGAAGCTCATCAACTCACAGATCAGCCTGCTCATCGGCAAAGGTGCCCTGCCCTTGGGGCCCTGGGCCGGGGTCCCAGCTACTGCCGCTGACCCTGCTGACCTCGTGGCTCCCGCCCTCAGGCCTCCACGAGTTCGACTCCCTGCGTGACCCCGAGGTCAATGACTTCCGCACTAAGATGCGCCAGTTCTGCGAGGAGGCGGCAGCACGCAGGCAGCAGCTGGGCTGGGAAGCGTGGCTGCAGTACTGCTTCCCCTTGCAGCTCGAACCTCCAGCACGGAGCTGGGGAGCCGGCCCCCAGCCCACCCCGAGCCGGGCCCTGCTAGTCAATGTCAAGTTCGAGGGCAGTGAGGTGAGCCCACCCACATGCCGAGTCTGCGGGGGGGCCTTCTCCTATGATGCTCCATGGGCCCCATGACCCCCCTCCTGCCAACAGCCTCATGTGGTACCCTGGCCAGAGCCAGCGTGTGTGCAGGGCTCAGTCCAGCACCCTCCAGGGCACGTGCAACAAGCAAACCAGGGTGGGTTCTTTGGTCGTTGTCTGTTGAATCAATCAATACCCTCCGGGTGCCCGCATGAGTGGGTGCCCTGTTCAGGGGAGGGGGCTGTCGTTGTGCCCCCAGTGCCCATGGGGCCTCAAGGCCAAAGGCCTGACCGCCTCCTCCTCCTCCTCCCAGGAGAGCTTCACCTTCCAGGTGTCCACCAAGGACATGCCCCTGGCACTGATGGCCTGTGCCCTCCGGAAGAAGGCCACAGTGTTCCGCCAGCCCCTGGCTGAGCGACCCGAAGACTACACACTGCAGGTGAACGGGCGCCATGAGTACCTGTACGGCAGCCACCCCCTGTGCCAGTTCCAGGTGAGGCCGCCACGGCCCTCTGCTGCGGGGCTGCCCACAGTGCACGCACTGTCCCCAAAGCTTGCACCAGCCAGTGCTCAGCGAAGGGAGGCAGGGAGGGCAGAGCGGCCGCTCACTCCAGCCCCTCCTCAGTACATCCGCAGCTGCCTGCACAGTGGCCTCACGCCTCACCTCACCATGGTGCATTCCTCCTCCATCCTGGCCATGCGGGATGAGCAGAGCAACCCTGCCCCCCAGGGCCAGAAGCCCCGCACCAAGCCGCCCCCTGTGCCTGTGAAGAAGGTAAGATGGTGCCCCCCTCGCTCGCACTCCTGTCCAGCCCAGCGTCCACGGGTGACCCCGGCTGCACAGTGGGTGACTGGAGAACCAGGCCCAGCGTGGAGATCAGATGGCCAAAGGGGGTCCCAGCTGAACGGCTCGGGGGAAGGGTGCGTTGCCTTCTGCAGGTGCCGGGTGCCTGCACAGCCCAGCTGGTGTTGGGGCCGCCTGTGAGCCTGTCCCCCCTCAGCGGCCCTGGGCATGAGCTGTGCTGTGCCCTGACAGCCCCTCTATGCCCCCAGCCCTCCTCCGTGTCGCTGTGGTCCCTGGAGCAGCCCTTCTGTGTGGAGCTGGTCCAGGGCAGCAAGGTGAATGCCGATGAGCGGATGAAGGTAGGCGGGGGCGGGGGTGCTGGGGGGAGCTGTGTTGTTTGCACAAACAAGGCGGTTGTGGCCTGGGATGGGGGGGCGGGCGGCAGAGGAAGAGGGGCGCACGCGAAAGCCACCCGACCGCAGTACCGGCCTTGCTGCCTGGGCGGTTGGGAGCTTCTTCAAAACAGGAAGGGGGGGCAGCCGCGGGAGAGGCCAGTTCGCAGAATCCGGGGCGGGCTGAGTTCTGGGTACTAGGGCTTGGTGGAGAGTGCGGGGCCAGTTTCCATCCAGGGATGCAGGCTGGGGGGGTTGGTGCCAGGCCCCTGGAGGAGGGGGTGTTCCTGCAGGACTCGGGGAGCTCCTGGAGCGGTTTGGGGGGAGTGGCTGGTGCTGTGGGTGCCTCAACCCTAAAACCTGTTCCCACACCCACCTGCCCTGCCCCCCCTCAGAGCAGCCCGGGAGCTGCAGGCTCCCCTGCCCCATTTGGGCAGCATGGGATCTGGCCGTCATTTACAAGCAAGGACTGTGGGAGGGGCTCTGGGCGACAGGGACTGGGCATCAGGTGGATGTGGGGGAGCACTTGTTCAGGTGCACGCACCTGCCCCACCCCCAAAGAGAAGGTAGCCTTGCGAGGTTCCAGCCAGAAGGGCCCTTAGAGTCCTGAGCCTTGGAGGGGAAACTGAGTCCAGTGAGGGGAAAGGATGTGTGCCAAGGCATGCGCAGGGCCCACCTGCTGAGCGTTGCCCGGCAGGACCCCCTCCACATGCGAAGCAGGGTTCCGAGCTGTGGAAATGAGGATCTTTAAGGAAGCACTGGGGAGGGAGTTTCCAAGGGAGGGAGGGAGTTACCTGGGCGAGAGCAGGGGGCTGGGCGGTGGCTCTCACTGGCATCCCACCTCCCCTCCCCTGCCCCACACCAGCTGGTGGTGCAGGCTGGGCTCTTCCACGGCAACGAGACGCTGTGCAAGACGGTGTCCAGCGCGGAGGTGAGCGTGTGCTCAGAGCCTGTGTGGAAGCAGCGGCTGGAGTTCGACATCAGCGTGCGGGACCTGCCACGCATGGCTCGGCTCTGCTTCGCGCTCTACGCCGTGGTCGAGAAGGCCAAGAAGGCACGCTCCACCAAGAAGAAATCCAGGAAGGCGGTGGGTGGCCGCACCCCTACCTGGCCCGGGGCCTGGCACAGGGCAAGGGGACAGCGGGGGCAGTTCTGGGATGCCAGGATGAATGCAGTATCCTAGCGGGGCCCAGCAAGGCCCAAGGCAGCGACAGGCTGGCAGTGGTAACCGGGCCTGAGTCACCTGCCCCGCGGCCCTGCTGGCTTGGGCAAGCTGGGGGCTTGCGTGGTTGGTGCAGGGCTAGCTGAGTGTGGGTGTGGGCAGGAGCAGCAGGGGTGGGGAGTGGGGGTGTGGGTCATCCCCTTGCCCTGCAGGGTCTCCCACAGGGCCTGGTGACCATGGGTGGGACGTGGGACGGCTGGGGAGACCGCTAGGGCTCAGGCCAAAGTGATCCCATTGAGCAGATGGGCAAGAAGAGGTGTATGCTGGGCTGGCCCTGACTTGCCGTCTGCTCCCTCAGGACTGCCCCATCGCCTGGGCCAACCTCATGCTGTTCGACTACAAGGACCAGCTCAAGACGGGGGAACGCTGCCTCCACATGTGGCCCTCTGCCCCAGGTGGGCCCAGCTGGGGGGCGCGGCTGGGGGGTCCCTGAGACGGCAGACCTGCCCCGTGCAACTCCGTCTGTCCGTGCCCCCAGATGAGAAGGGAGAGCTGCTGAACCCCACGGGCACCGTGCGTGGGAACCCCAACACTGAGAGTGCTGCTGCGCTGCTCATCTGCCTGCCTGAGGTGGCCCCCCACCCTGTGTACTACCCTGCCCTGGAGAAGGTCAGCCAGGGCCCCGCCCGGGACTGTGCTAGGGTCACCGCGTGGTGACGGGGTGGCTGGGTCACCACACGGGACAGGGCCACATGCGGGGAGTGAGGTATCACGCCGGGCAGGGTCTGGATGTCCACACGCTTCATAGCTGCGTGGCTCTGCCACCTCAGAGAGCCGCATGCCCAGCGGGTGACCATGGGCAGTGTCTGATGACGTTCTTTTGGGGAGGACCTGGCATTTTGGAGCGGAGGCTGGCATTTGCCGCCGCGTATCCTGCGGGGCAGTGACCCCGGGGCTCCGCCAGGGCTGGTCCCGCCAGGCGGACACCTTAGAGCCCAGCCGCTTCTTGCAGATCCTGGAGCTGGGACGGCCCGGGGAACGGGCGCACGTCACGGAGGAGGAGGTGAGCGCGGAGGGGCTGTGGTGGTGGCCAGGGGAGCACGGGGTGGGGGCCCAGCCAGCAACCAGAGTGCCCCCACTGGCCCCTCAGCAGCTGCAGCTGCGGGAGATCCTGGAGCGGCGGGGCTCCGCGGAGCTGTACGAACACGAGAAGGACCTGGTGTGGAAGATGCGGCACCAGGTCCAGGAGCACTTCCCGGAGGCGCTGGCCCGGCTGCTGCTGGTCACCAAGTGGAACAAACATGAGGATGTGGCCCAGGTGGGTGAGAGGATGCCAGAGGGCCCCGGCCAGGGGCAGCGGGGTGGCTGTCCCCTTCTGCCGCCACGTGCCGCCCCTCACCCCCTCACCGCTGTCCCCACAGATGCTGCACCTGCTGTGCTCCTGGCCCGAGCTGCCCGTGCTGAGTGCGCTGGAGCTGCTGGACTTCAGCTTCCCCGACTGCCATGTGGGCTCCTTCGCCATCAAGTCCCTGCGGAAACTGACGTGAGTGTCAGCTGGGTGACCCCTGGGGTGGGCACTGGGCACCCCCTCCCGCTGCCATGGAGCTCCAGGTGCCAGCGGCCCCTCTGCCTGCAGGGACGACGAGCTCTTCCAGTACCTGCTGCAGCTGGTACAGGTGCTCAAATACGAGTCCTACTTGGACTGCGAGCTGACCAAGTTCCTGCTGGACCGGGCCCTGGCCAACCGCAAGATCGGCCACTTCCTCTTCTGGCACCTCCGGTAGCGGTTGGGCCCTGTGTCTCCCTCTCTGGCTTTGGCATTGCCTGTCGGGGGTCACGGCCGCCCTGGTCCTCCCTGGGGATGGGGAGTGGAGCCTTGGGGCCTTGCCCGTCCCAGCCTGGCTCAGCCTCTCTTCCTCCCTCCAGCTCCGAGATGCACGTGCCGTCGGTGGCCCTGCGTTTTGGTCTCATCATGGAGGCCTACTGCAGGGGCAGCACCCACCACATGAAGGTGCTGATGAAGCAGGTGAGACCCCACGCACGGGTGCCACTTCCTGCTGGCATCACTGGGCCTAGAGCTGGCCCCCTGGTCCACGGCCGCCCTTGCTCTCTGCCTGCCACCAGGGGGAAGCACTGAGCAAGCTGAAGGCCCTGAATGACTTCGTCAAGGTGAGCTCCCAGAAGACCACCAAGCCGCAGACCAAGGAGCTGATGCACCTGTGCATGCGCCAGGAGGCCTACCTGGAGGCCCTCTCGCACCTGCAGTCCCCGCTCGACCCCAGCACCCAGCTGGCCGAAGTCTGGTGAGCGCCCCCTCCCATCCCCAGCCGCGTTGGGGGAGCAGGTCGAGGGGACGCAGCTGATGGCGCTCTGGCCCGGCAGCGTGGAGCAGTGCACCTTCATGGACTCCAAGATGAAGCCGCTGTGGATCATGTACAGCAACGAGGAGGCGGGCAGCGAGGGCAGCGTGGGCATCATCTTCAAGAATGGGGACGGTGAGCCCGGCTGTGGTCCCGGGGTGCCCGGGGCCGGGGCGGAGCTGGGAGCTGGGAGTGAACGCACGCCCCCATGGGAAGCTCACGCCTTTGCCTTGTGGTCCGGGCTGTGCAGACCTCCGCCAGGACATGCTCACCCTGCAGATGATCCAGCTCATGGACGTTCTGTGGAAGCAAGAGGGTCTGGACTTGAGGTGAGGTGGCATGGGCGCAGGGGAGGGACCCTTCCTGGATGCAGGGCCACTTTCCCTTGGTGCTTCTTTTTGTCTGTCCCTGGCTTCCCACTTCGTCTCAGGCTGCAGCAGCCCTCGAAGTCCCTGTTGGGCACCTTGGGCTCCCTCCTGGGGATCGAGTGGGTGGTCCCAGGGGCTGCCCTGCATCTGCCCGCCCCTCCCCCACCTGCCCAGGATGACTCCCTATGGCTGCCTGCCCACTGGCGACCGCACGGGCCTCATCGAGGTGGTGCTGCACTCCGACACCATCGCCAACATCCAGCTGAACAAGAGCAACATGGCAGCCACGGCCGCCTTCAACAAGGATGCCCTGCTAAACTGGCTCAAGTCCAAGAACCCTGGGTAGGTGTGAGGGCCCAGGAGCGATGCCTGCCCCAGCAGCGCAGGGGTAGGACTCACAGTGGTTTTCTGAGGCTGGCGGGGCTGGGGGGGCTGGGGCTCACGTTTTAGAGATGCGAGTTCTGGCAGCTTCTCGAGTCTACATGTCATCCCCGTGGGGAGCAGTGGGGAGCAGGAGGGAGTGAACGCGTTCCACAGGAAGCCAGAGGAACTGAGTCCCAGCACTGTAAGTCCCTGCCCGGGGACCTGTGGGTCCCGCAGGAGGCCCTGAAATACACACACAGCTCACTACCCAGTGACAAGCCACAGCAGAGGGGCTGGCCTGGGGGCCAAGGTGAGGGCTAGGGTCCGTGACCATCTCAGTGAGGACCAGCCTAGGTCTGGAGCTGGGACTCTGCTCCCAACATCACATGTGTACACATCACAGCACTTGTCAGTGGCTCGCGAATCTGTCACTTGAGCCGGGTTCTGCCGGCCGGCTCTTCTGCTGGCCTTGCTTGGAGCGCCCTGTGCACCTGCTGTCACCCCAGTGCTTTGCCTGAGCCTGGAGGGGCCAAGTCGGCCATGGTCACACGCATGGGCCCTGGCTATCAGCTGTGTTCCTCTGGCCTCAGTGAGTAGATGACCCTAGGAGACCCTCCCAGGGGAGCCTTGAGGCTCTGTGGAATGTCTTCTGGCCTGGAACACGGTCTGTTGGTCAGGGGCCAGGGTCAAGGGGAAGGAAGAAGGTAGAGCTGCACAATGGACCTCTTACCCCTACCAGGGAGGCCCTGGACCGCGCCATAGAGGAGTTCACGCTCTCCTGTGCGGGCTACTGCGTGGCCACGTACGTGCTGGGCATTGGCGATCGGCACAGTGACAACATCATGATCCGCGAGAGTGGACAGGTAGGGACAGCTGGGGGGCTGACCGAGGGTGCCTTCCCACCGGGGTCCCCCAGCCCCACTGGCAGGCACACAGCCCCAGGAGCCCTGGAGCCCCCTGGCTGCCCCCCTCCCCAGGGGCTGCCTGGGGTGTCAACAGCTGCCCTTTCTCTGATGCCACTTTGGTCTCTGCCCTCTCCTCCCATCAGCTTTTCCATGTGGATTTCGGCCACTTTCTGGGGAATTTTAAGACCAAGTTTGGGATCAATCGGGAGCGAGTCCCCTTCATCCTCACCTACGACTTTGTGCACGTAATCCAGCAGGGCAAGACCAACAACAGTGAGAAGTTTGAAAGGTGCGGCTGCCTCGGCCCCCTCCCCACCCAGGACCAGGATACAGGGAGGGGGCCTTGGCCCTGAGCCCTGCTCCTGACCCCCTCTCCACACTGCATGCCCTGTGGGTCATGTGCTGGCAGGGTGGGGGTGGAGGGCTCCTAGGCCAGGAAGGGAGCGGCTTAGTGTGCACCTGTTTCCAGGGCAACGGTGGCTGCTAAGCGGGCAGGGGGGCAGATGTGGTCAGATACAGACTAGGTGTGGCTGAGGGAAGCTCCCACTCCTTTGGTGCTCCACCAAACCCTGCAGGTTCCGGGGCTACTGTGAGAAGGCGTACACCATCCTGCGGCGCCACGGGCTCCTCTTCCTGCACCTCTTCGCCCTGATGCGGGCGGCGGGCCTGCCAGAGCTCAGCTGCTCCAAAGACATCCAGTACCTCAAGGTGGGCACCAGGGACAGAGCCGGGAGGGGCAGGGACACCCGAGCTGGCCAGGGAAGCAGCTCGCAGGCGCTCAGCCTCCCAGGCCCCGCACGCAGGCGTGGGCAAGATGCCCAGCCCAGGGGGTGTTAGGTGCTTCTTGTCTGTATCTCGTGGGACCGGGAGGTGGAGCCTCCAGTGCCTGCCAGGTTTCCTCCCGGTGCCGTTCCCAGGGGAGGCTGCCAGGCTGGCCACCCTAGGGCAAGGGACCGGGGGGCGGGGTGGCAGGAAGTTAGGTCGGAAGAGTGCCCGGCTGTGCCCAGATGCCTGCCCGCAGCTGCCCTTACCCCTTACTGGGGGAGGGGGCGGGCAGCCCAGTTGCCACTCACGCACCCTGCCGTGTTCTCAGGACTCTCTGGCGCTGGGAAAGACGGAAGAGGAGGCACTGAAGCAGTTCCGGGTGAAGTTTAATGAAGCCTTGCGGGAGAGCTGGAAAACGAAAGTGAACTGGCTGGCCCACAACGTGTCCAAGGACAATCGACAGTAGCGGCCCCTTGGCGGCTCCACGGCCGTCCCCAGGCTGACGGCCCCGCGGGAAGGGGCCTCCACAAATGCATTTTGTTTACACTGGTTATTTATTTTCTGACTTTAAACGCTCAAGGAACTGAACAGCCATAACCGGAAACGCATCCTCAGAGCCCCAGCTGCCCCGGCTGGAGCCCTTGGGGGCTGTGGTCACCTCATGTCTTCCAAGGCTGGGTCTTGGCCCGGCATCCCCTCTCCCTCCCTGCCTGGCTGCCTGGGTCTGGGCACCCAGCAGCCTCCTGGTGTCTACAGGGAGCCCCCCACCTCCGTGCCTCCTGCACAGAGCCAACCCTGGGCAGCTGGGGACGCTGGTGGCAGGCAGGAACGGGATGGGGCACAGTCTCTAGATTCAGGGATGTCTGTCCTTCACTGAAAGTGACTCTTGGTACGGGGTCCCCCCCACTCTGCTGCAGTTGTATTTGCAGGTTAGAAAGTTTACAACCCACCCACTTGCTGCAGGTCACTGGAAGCAGGTCACCCCTAATCCCTCGCGGAGCACCCCGCCCGCTGCTGCCTGGGAGCACAGGTACAGGCAGCCGCAGGACCCGCTCTCGCCCAGAACCAGAGAACCTGCTGCCCGAGGCTCGCCAGGAGCTGGCAGCATCTTTCCCTCCCACAGTGCCCAGCTTGGAGGGGTCCAAGCTTCAGCCTGGGCCTCTCACAGACGTGTGTGGGCCTTGGGAAGCCTACAAGTGACACTGCTGTCAATGGCCACCTCCAGACCGCCCAGCGGTGCTCCTGGGCTCCCCAGTCTCCCCAGATGGCAGAGCTGGTGCGAGGGCCTGGTGCCAGCCCCACCCGTGTTGGGCTCGGTGACGTAGGCTGCCCCAGGGCACCTGCCAACACTCCCCCCGCCCTGATCTGTGCCGCACGGCGTCAGCCCAGCTGCGGGCTCTGTGTGTGTTTATTTATTGGACCCAAGCCGAAGGCCTGGCAAGCCCTTGGCAGTCTCTGTGCCACGTGCCTGGTGAGATGCCCTCTCCCTCTTTTATTATGATTATTTTTTACATTATTTCAAGTTTCTGAGGAAGGTGATGCAGCTGAGACCAACACTCTGAAAGCTCGCAAGGAGAGAAAGGCCGATGAGAGGAAATAAAAGCCTTTTTATGTTCCTATGTTCTTGGCTCTGAAAGAAAAGACGGGAACACATGGTTCAAACACACAGACTCCACTTGGACTGGAGTTAGAACCAGAGCTTTATTGTAGCGGATACACATTCCAACCTATTCAATACACAACTGAACAGCGTGGACATCGGTCCTTGTCTGCACGGAGCAGCCATGGGGCGGGGCATGGCGTGGGAGCAGCCACAGACACCCAGAGGCACCAGGAGCCCCGTGCTGCTGGCCACACACCTCCCACTCTCCTTCCTTCCCAAGGCTCTGGGGGTATGGGTCTGCCCCTCCGACTGGTGGGGGGCATCCCGCAGGGACATGTGCCCTGGGACCCCGGGGCAGTTCTGGGTTGAGAGGCCTGGGCCTGTTGCTGGCTGCAGGCCCGGTGGCCAGCACCACTGCTGTCAGCTTTCCAATCTCTATCTACATTTTCCAGCACGGTGGGCGGGGGACACACACGGTTAACAGCAAGCCACGGGGGCGCACGCGTGTGAGCCCAGGCTGCTGGTCTTCAGGGAGTGTGGGAAGGGCCCTGCCAGCCCCACTCCCCAGTGCCAAACTGCAAACAGGTGGGATCCCCAAGGGGTGACCCCTGGCATCTCCCAGCCTCCGGAGAGGGCCCTGCCCCTGGGAGAGCGGCACCCGCGGCACAGCGGGGCACAGCGGGGCACAGTGGGGCAGGACCCTCGGGCTCTGAGCCGTGTCCTGATCCTCACTCTACATTCCAGTCCCAGGTTAGGCCAGCACAGACAACACAGAGAATCCCGATTTATTTACAAAATATTAAAAAGTCAGTTAATCGTCTACATATTAACCCCCATTTTTGCCATTTTGTACATGCACTAGTTTGGAAAAAAAATAAAAACTTCTTCTTTTTAAAAAAAGAAAACATGGTTACCAGGTGGGAGTGAGCCGTTTCTCCCCTTGGTCAGGGGGCCTTGCAGGAGGTGCCAGGCCAGGCCCTCACGTGGGCTCAGGGGACCGTCCAGGAGGGCGGTGGGCAGGCGGGCAGGCAGACAGGGCCTATGGTCTTGGACATGAAGCACAGGCGGCGATCGGCAAAGGGGAAGGGTCTGCAGACCTACTGGCCGAAATGACTGTGTACACCATGGACCCGCGGGGCGGGAGCAGGGACGGAGCTGCGGGCGGGCGGCCGAGGGGCGGGAGCAGGGACGAGCTGCGGGCGGGAGCAGGGACGGAGCTGCCAGCGTCAGTAACTCAGTGTGGAGTCGTCCCACTCCAGCTGCTGCTGTCGGCTGGCGCCCTGGGTGTCCCCGGGGCCACCCCCTTCCTCCTCGCTGCTCTCCGACTCTGCGCTGGTCATGTCCTCCTCCTCCTCCCCGTCCTCACTCTCTTCTTCCTCTTCCTCTTCTTCCTCCTCCTCCTCGCTGCTGTGCTGGTCCTCATATGTCTGGCCCGAGAAGATGGCAATGTGAACCCAGCTCCTGACCCCATCACCCAGGGTGCATCACCAGGAGCCGCGGGAAGGACAGGAATGCCCCAATGGGAGAGGCCAGGGTTGGCCCGGGGCCTCAGCTCCCAGACAGCAGCCCTGCCTGAGCTCACAGCCACACCGCCGAGGCAGGGGGACCTTCCACAAGGTCTCGCCGGGCCTCGGCTTGCCCAACTAGGAAGCAGGGACATGGGACCCCACAGAGCTACTGTGTAGGCCCCAGGGTGCAGGCTTATAGAAACGAAAGGGCTTTGGCACACTGTTCCCGAAAGGGGGCGTCTCGGCTGGGGCCTGCGCGACTTCCTACCTCCATGGGGTTCACGGTGATGGTCAGGGCAGAGTCATCCCAGTCCATTTCACTCTCCTTCCCGGCGTCCTGGTCCCGCACTGTCCGCTGGTGTGCAGCCCGGATGCGGAACACGCCCAAGATGATCATGAAGACCAGGAAGCTGACGCACACCACAATGACCACAGTTGCCGTGCTGGGGACCACTGCCAGCAGAGGGAGAGGTGAGCTGGGGCCTGGCCGGGCACCTCCCGGACAGCGTTCCCACCCCCTGCCACAGCCCCGCCGTCTTACCTGCAAAGGGGTGAGGATTGGCCAGGTTGTGGCCCGACAGGTCAACGAAGGAGCGATGCTCAGGGTGGACGAACTGCGGCTGTGCGGCCATGTGGCTGGCATGTTCGACGGGGCTGGATGTGTGGATCACGTTGACCTGTGGCAGGGGTGGGTCAGTGGTCAGCACTCTCAGGACCCGTCCATGTCAAGGACAGCCAGGGAACACGCAGGACAGGCAGCAGGGTCTGGGGAGTCATAGTGACACTGCCAGATGGCCAGGGGACATGCTGACCCAAGGAAGGGGCACGCACAGAGACCACAGGCCCAGCCCCACCAGACACAGTATCAATCACCACCCATTGCCTGCCAGGCCGGCTTCCCTTCCGCTCACCCGCAACACCCCTGGGTCCTGTGCCTGGATAGCTCAGCATCCTGCCTTCAGCAAGGTCACAGAACAGGTGCAGCTGCTAACACTCCCTTCAAGCCCACAGATTTCTGAGCCTGGTCCCCACGCCAGCACCTGTTGCTGGGCCACAGACGGGAGTCCCATGGGCTGGCTCAGCGAGATTCCAGCTCTCTGGGTGTCACTTATTCTGGAACAGCCCCCTGCAATCCCTCTGGCGGGTGCAACCTCAAAACACAGCCTGGCCCCACCCTCACTGATCTCAATCCTGCCTGCCCTGCAAGCAGCTCCGAGCTGAGCCTCCTGGGGCTGGCCAGCCTACACGTCCCATCAACCCTGACCATGGACACCAGGCCAGCCCAAGGCGGCTGCAGATGTTTACAACGTTGGCATTCCTGGAGCCCTGTGGCACTGCACTCACCTCCACCTGGAACTCGTTGCTCATGTAGCGGCCATTGAGCTCTGAGCAGATGAGCTTGAACTTGCGGTCAAGCAAGGACCTGGTGTGCCAGTTCCGATAACGCAGGAGATGCAGCACCTCCTCGTAGCTGGCCATGGTGTCCACGCCTGCAGGGTGCAAGTGAGCAGACTGCTGGGCGGCCTCAACCAGGAACATGGGCAGCTCAGGTCTGGGGCACGGGATGCCCAGTCCAGGGACCCAACGCTGGTGGGTCCTGACAGCAGGGTTGAGGGTAAAGTCCCACAGAACACATTTCTCCCCCAGCAGGGGATCTGTGTTCTCAGGGTCCCCGGGTCCCTCACCTGTGAAGACCATGCCCAGGGCAGAGCGACTCATGTCAATGCTCTTGTGCTGCAGGCGGGCGCTGTCCACCTCCAGGCTCTCCTGCTCAGGGTTCAGCTCTTCCCCTTCCACCGTGACCTCACAGGTGTCCAGGTCGTGTACGATCTCCTCCGACACCAGGGACTCTTGAACTGCAAAAGCCGCCGACCACAGGTCACCGTGGCCAGTGGGGTCGCTGGCACCACCTGGGGGTCTTCAAGGAGCAGTCCCCTGGGCCGGAGCCACCCTGGGACTCTGCCGCGGGGCAGGCTGTCACCTGTGGGGTCCTCGGCTCCGTCCCCCTCGGGCTCCACCTCCCTCGTGATGGTGCTGATGATGCGGAGCTCCGGGAACAGGGAGACGCCCTCGGCGCTTTCAAACTCGGACGCGGCACGGGCAAAGTGGTGGACACCACTCAGGCTGATCCTGGGCTCCTCGGGCTGCAGGACCATCACGTAGCCGTCCACTGGAGGTATGGACATGCAGGTGGCCTCGCCGACACACCTGCCGGCGGGCAGTAGAGGGCAATCAGGGCTCTGAGAGCCGCGTGCGCCTGGAAGGGGAGGGGACAGGGCACTGCGCACACACCACCCGCACTTTCTTCCCAAGTCAGTGAGGGGGACCCCGCGAAAGAGCACAACCCTACTTGACAGTGGTGGTGACGGTGAGCCTCCGGATGCCGGGCGTGGGGAACTGCCGGGCGTTCACATAGGACAGGTGCTGCAGTGCCTTCTCCAGCTCTCCCACATCCTCCCCCGCCACGGTCAGCGTGGACTGCCCGGGTTCGCCTTGGACCTGAAAGCAGCCCAAGGACAGGGTGCTTAGGGCAGAAGCTGCCACTAGGAGGCCCCTGGCCAAGGGGACAGGCCGGGACAGATCTGCCCTGGTGATCTTCAAGCTCGTCCACATTCCCTGGCACCCGTGGTGGCATCTAAGGCATGGATGTGGCCACCACGGCCCCTCCCACACCCCACTGGCCCGACTTGGTCCAGCAGCCTAGGAATGCTCAGCTACCTGGACACCACGGCCACTGTCCCCGGGGGGCTGCAGGTCCAGCCTACCTGGACACCGCGGCCACTGTCCCCGGGGGGCTGCAGGTCCAGCCTACCTGGACACCGCGGCCACTGTCCCCGGGGGGCTGCAGGTCCAGCCTACCTGGACACCGCGGCCACTGTCCCCAGGGGGCTGCAGGTCCAGCCCCTCTTTGCAGGTGTACAGACAGTCAATGACATTCTTATCCGCAAGCTTCCCAGAGCGGACTGTGAGGCCGGCCAGGTTCCCGCGAAAGAACTGTGTCATGCGCAGGTCGCCACCTGGGGAGAGGGGAGTACAGGGGTGAGGCAGGAGGCCTGGGCTGGCGGGCGCCCCTCAGGGCAGTGTTACTGGTGGTGCAGCTCGCTGGATGGACATGCAAGTTAGTTCACGCCAAACCCTGTTAGCCTTGCAATCTACATGGGAATGCGATGATTGCGTTAAGTCACGTATGATCATGCATGTGGCCTGCAGAAACGTGGGGCTGGAGTCCCCGACTTGAAGCCAAAGGTGCCATGAGAGTCCCTGCACACCCGGCCGTGCCCTGGTGAAGATGGCCTGCCCAGCACCAGCCAGCACGGTCTCCTCAGCCTCTCCGGGCCATGTCCCCCATGCTAGGTACATTTAGGGGACAAATGAACATGCAGCTGAACCTCCGTGAGGATGGCTGGGCAGGCAGGGACACCGAGAGCCAGCCCTGCCTGAGTGTTCCTGTGGAGGCCATCAGGCACCTAGCACCCCAACTCCATGTGCAGGGAACATGGCAAGTGGA